TATACAGCTATTGCAGGATGCCTTTGTCCATATTAGGCATTTCCTGCACGTCATAAATTATTATATATTACTTCTACTAGGCCGTTTTGGACTTTATGCGCGAGAGCACCCTCCGGCTTCGAGTATGAATGAAACATGTACTATATGTTCACATCGTCTCGTTTTGGATATGTAAAACTCGTTCGGTCATACATACACTAGCCTATCTAGTTTCTTCGCCCATGTGCACACACATCCAAAGCATGCACACAGAAAAAGTGATTTAAAATGCATCTGATTAATTTAATAGATAAAACATGGTTGATCTTTGTCAGCGGTATGACCCATTTCAGGAGCTGACAAAATGACAATTTAAAATCAGAGTATAGCTCACATTCACTAAAATATTGAAACGCTATGCTGATTCAAAACGACAACGCCGGTGATTGACAGTCAAAGCAAAGCGTGGTTTGAACGCCCTGCCCCCCAGCTGAACTGGAAGTTTTGATTGATTTTGCACCCGAGTCAGACCTGTCTGTTATTGGCTGAAGCGCAGGGCTCCACCCCAGAAGTTTGAAAAGTGCCCGTCAAATGCCGGCTCGCTCTTTCTCTCCATCCTCAGAGGAATGGGCGAACGAGGGGCTGCCGCGAGGAGCATAAGTTCCGAGAACCAAGTCCGGTTGGGCAAGTATGGCACATCTACCAGGACCTGCTCCTCGTCCTCCCTGACTTTGCACAGTGTCTGTGTGAGAAGGCTCACTGGGGGAAACACATATTTGCGAAGGCCCTGGGGCCAGCTGTGCACCAGCACATCCGTGCCGAGGGTGCCCTCGGTCAGGGAATAAAACAGCTGGCAATGGGTCAAGTCCAGAGAGGCAAACAGGTCTACCTGTGCGGCTCCGAAGAGGTCCCAAATCAGCTGGACCACCTGGGGATTGAGTCGCCACTCTCCCGGAAGCGCAGGCTATCGTGAGAGCTCGTCGGCTGCACGATTGAGCACGCCAGGGATGTGAATGACCCGAAGCGACCTCAGATGCTTCTGACTCCAGAGGATGAGATGGCGGGCGAGTTGCGACATGCGGCGGGAGCGTAGACCACCCTGGCGGTTGATGTACGCAACGGTCGCAGTATTGTCCGTACGGACCAGCACGTGCTTGCCATGTAGCAGCCCTTTGAAGACGTACTGCTAGCAACTCGAGGCAGTTGATGTGCCAATGCAGTTGAGGCCCCGTCCACAGACCCGACATTGCATGCCCGTTGTACGTGGCCTCCCAGCTCGTGGCCGAGGCATCCGTGAACACCACAGCATGCCTGGACACTTGTTCCAGGGGGACTCCCGCCCGTAGAAACGAAGGGTCTGACCACGGGCTGAAGGTTTGGCGACAGTACGGGGTAATAGACACCCGGTACGTGCCGCTATGCCGTGCCCATCTCGGGACTTGGCCGTGAAGCCAGTGCTGAAGCGGCCTCATATGAAGCAACCCGAGCGGCGTTACTGCGGCCGCGGATGCCATATGCCCCAGGAGCCTCTGAAAAAGTTTCAGTGGGGCCGCTGTTCTGCCTCAAGCAGTTCAACACTGACTGGACGCGCTCTTCTGTGAGTCGTGCTGTCTGGTTGACCGAGTCCAACTAACCGAGAAAAGAGATCCTCTGCACAGGGGAGAGTTTGCTCTTTTCCCAGTTGACCCGAAGTCCCAACAGGCTGAGGTGACGAAGCACCATGTCCTTGTGTTCGCATAACTGGTCCCTAGACTGTGCTAGTATCAGCCAGTCGTCGAGATAGTTGAGAATGCGAACACCACGTTCTCTGAGTGGAACAATGGCTGCCTCCATAAAGACGTGAGGCGACAGGGACAGCCCAAAGGGTAGGACCTTGTACTGATAAGCCCGACCCTCGAACGCAAACCGTGGGAACGGCCTGTGTCGAGGGAGAATCGAGACATGAAAGTATGCGTCCTTCAGGTCGATTGCTGCAAACCAATCTCGGGGACGGATGCACTCGAAAATGCGTTTTTGCTTTAACATCTTGAATGAGAGCTTGTGCAGGGCTTGTTCAAGGTTCGCAGGTCCAAGATTGGCCGTAACCCACCACCTTTCTTGGGCACAATGAAGTAGGGCCTGTAAATCCCTGCCTTCATATCGGCTGGAGGGACCGGCTCGATCGCGTCCTTCGCCAGTAGGATGTCGATCTCCGTCCGTAAGACAGGGGCATCGCTGCTCCGCACAGAGGTGAAGTGGATGCCCCTGAACTTGGGGGGACGCCGGGCAAACTGAATCGCATAGCCGAGTCTGATGGTACGGATGAGCCAATGAGACGGCCTGGGGAGCGCTAGCCAGGCTCCCAGACACCGTGCAAGCTGGACCAATGGAACCACAGACGTACCCGGGGTGGGGCAGCAAGGTGGAACACAGGCACTCGACTCGGGAGGCACTGAGGCGGCTCGAAGTGGAGTCTGTGTGTGCTGTGCCACACTTACCTGGTTCCAGGGTTGGGCAGAGGGTGTGAGAGAAGGCCTGGTGGAGTCCTCGACCCACACACTGCTGCCTGCTGGCGAAGGGAGTCGCAAGGTGTTTGCAAAATGTCGCACACTGTCAACCGAACCCTCTTGTGACCCAGAAATAGAGGAAATTGCTCTTTTTTTGAAAATGTGGGTACCGCTGGACTCCGATGAGGCGGAACAAAAACAAAAGGAAACAAAGGATTCTCCACCCGGCCCTCCTCCGGGGGAGGGAGTGGTCCGGACACCATCTCCCAGAGAGCAGATCCTCCCATCTCTGGGTCACCCGTCTCAGGGCCACTTGCCCTTACGCTTACCGCCTGGTTTGGCGGGGGCCTGGATGGGCTGGGCGTTCCCCTTGCGGCCAGCCGCCTGCCGTCTAGGTGGAGGCTGCTGCTTAGGCTGAGCAGGGGCGGAGGTGGCCGCCGGGGGCGCCCTCGGCGACGAGCAGATGAAGGCGCTGCAGCCGACGACTGGGTGGAGGCAGCAGCTGGTCGTCGGGACAGGATGTGCTTAATCGCCTCCATCTGCTTCTGTGCCGCTGAAAACTGCTGGGCAAAGTTTTCAACAGCGTCGCCGAAGAGGCCGGCCTGACATACAGGGGCGTTGAGGAACCGAACTTTGTCAGGCTCACGCATATCTGCCAGGTTCAGCCACAGGTGGCGCTCCTGGACCACTAAGGTGGACATCGCCCGACCCAGGGAGCGTGCAGTGATTTCGTCGCCCATAGGGCAAGGTCCGTCGCTGCACGCAGTTCCTGCATAACCCCTGGGTCAGAACTACCCTCGTGCAGTTCCTTGAGCGCTTTGGCCTGGTAGACCTGCAGGAGCGCCATGGCATGCAGGGCGGAAGCGGCTTCTCCACAAGCTGTGTAAGCCTTGCCCGCCAGAGAGGACGAGAACTTATACGCTCGGGAAGGGAGACGCGGATTACCCCGCCAAGAGGTAGCGGTCTTGGGACACAGTTGCATCGCCACAGACCGCTCCACTGGGGGGAGCTCCACGTACCCCTTAGCCGCCCCGCTATCGAGGGTAGTGAAGAAGGAAGAAGGACCAGACCGGCTTAGGGCAGAAAAAGGTGCTGTCCACGATTTAGTCACCTCTTCATGCACCTCCGGAAAGAAAGGTACTGGGGCGGAGCGCTGAGAACCAGCACGGGCCGCTCCAAGAAACCAATCGTCCAGCCGCAAGGGTTCGGGACACGGTAGAGGGTTCCACTCGAGCCCGACACTCGCAGCGGCCCGGGAAAGCAATACAGCCATCTCTGGGTCTGACTCGGGCAACGCTGCCACACCCGAAGGGGGCAGCGCAGCCGAATCTTCATCCCCGGAGGACATACACTCACCCTCCGATTCAGCGACCGACATCTGGTCCTCCGGGGGATCCCTAAAAGTGACAACTGGTGCCGCAAGAGGCGGACCAGCACGCCCTCTTGGAGGCTCCACTGGTTGCAGTGTCATGGAGGAGTGAGGAGCCCGAGGAGTTTGACTCAGTTGGGTGTTCCTCACTGTAATCCTCAAGTCACCTAGGTTATTAACCGAAGTAGGCTTCTTCTGAGCTGGCCCAGAAGAAGAACTAGATCAGGGAATATACGAAGGGGCTCTAGTCCTTTCAAGATACTGGAGTCTCGACCTTAAAACCGAGATGGTCATGTTCCCGCAATGAGAACATGTACCATCCATGAGTGCCACCTCAGCGTGTGCGAGGCCCAAACACGTGAGGCAGTAATCATGACCATCACCGGGGGCCAGGTAGCGACCGCATCCAGTAGCACACGGTCTGAATGACATCTTGAAAAAGACGCAGGATCAAACCGTGTGTGCTCTTTTAGGAATTTGCTCTCTACTAGTGCTGAAACGCACAGGGGAAATGGCTGCGGCTACACAACAGTACAAATAGTGCAAGCCTGTTGTGAGCACTCACACTCGTTGAAGGCGCACTCTCCAGCGAGCTGTGAGAACAACTGTTTTTGCTCTCTCGTGAGATCGCGACCAACACTGTCAGCGCCGTCACACCCAGACACGCAGATGCTCCTTCCCAACGAACAGCTCGCCTTCCACCACTTTCCAAAGAAAACACATGCGCAGGAACAGCACATGTGTTCGGCTCCGAAGCGAAAAGCAATTATGCGACGCACCGACTGCTCATTAAATACTCGCGCTGCAGCGCAGAGCAGCTGTGGCAATTATCGCATGCCAATGTGCATTGGCTCATTTTTCTTACACTCAAAGTAGATTGGTCTCCCAAAGCGATCCCCAATTCGTCGGTCAGTTCCGACGTACGTCGAACATGACCGACTGAAAGGGAACTGAAGGTGACAGATGATGTGTGTGAGGAAAAACACAGGCTTGACAGATTCAGATGAGATTTAAAACAAATTTCTCAAACGAATCCCATAGGGATTTCCTGCAGTAGCTTAAGGAAACTGAATGAATAGCTTCCAAAGTGAAATTTGTATCAGCATAGATTTACATGTATTTATTTAAATTGTTTTGAACAAATTTTTTTTTCTGGCTATGTTCAGGTGATCCAGGAGAAACGGGTGAGAAAGGAAATCAAGGACGGTCACAAATTGGAGACCCAGGTCTCCCAGGACCACCAGGTGAGCAGATGCAGCACCACTACTAACATATAAATTTTTTATATTAGTTTTGCCCTGAAATTACATTATATAATGTTAATACAATTTTTTGTTTGTTTGTTTGCAATAAATATAGTTTTCCATAACAATTTCCCACCCTATCGGGCCTTAACTGCCATGAAATGAGCAACAGCGCTTCACTCTACTCTTGTTGTCATGTGTAATATATTTTAACTGCTCATTGGTCGATAGCATTCTCTTTGCAAAGGAAGGTTATAGTTTCCATAGTACTTCAAACTAAATTTGATTAATGAAATGGCATATTTAATAATTAATGAAGTCAAGTAATATAGGCGGTGAGGTTATTTTACAGACACATTATTTTGTTTCAGGTCCAATGGGTCCACCAGGGGTCGGAAAACCAGGCCACCCAGGTAAGCCGGGCCCACCTAGTCACAACGGCGAGGAGGGGAAGAGGGGGCACCCTGGCGAGCCCGGTCAGCCAGGCGTGTGTCATCCTTCCATGTGCTACGGCGCAATGTTGCGAAGAGATCCTTTCAGTAAAGGGCCAAACTATTGACAGAGCTTTGGCTGAAATGCAGACAGTCTGGATGCGGTGCTGCTCAGTGAATGAAAGAAAACAATAACAGCGAATCTTTCCAATCTCAGGATGATCAAATTTTTCAAGAGTGTTTCTCACTCATGGACACATGAAGTACCTCTTAAAGTGTAGATAACAAGATGATGTTATCATCTACATTATCACCACCGATTGTCCATGACTCAGTCCAACACTTGTCTTTCTGTGTCACAAGCTGAGATGTGCCATGATTTATTCACGCTGTTTGTCATGTGGCATGAAACGCATCAGCTGAATATTTGTGAAAACATCCAGTGTGAGGAGTTCTACAACACTCGCAGTGGAAGTTCTACCTAGATATCGACTTTACTTCCTCAATCTCTTGCTCCCCCAAGTGCCGTTCATCCATCACCAGCCAATCATCTCGTCGTATTTATGATGCTAGATTTACTGTCTATTTTGCATTTGTGTTTCTTTTTGGTCAGATGTTTCTTTTGCTGCTTGCAAGCTTTTCATGGGAGGTGCGAGAGTTCTTTTGTAACACTTTATGTTTTCTTTCCTATATTGACGTCTCTCAGACATCCATGATAATTATTGTCCATTTAGGTATTACTACAAGGGTTCCCACATCTTTTGACCAATTAATTTCCTTGTTGTTGTTTTTTCTAGGCATTTGTGATTACAGGAAACATTTTAAAAAATCTATCTTAAAATTTTAATTCTATCCTGTTATATTTTAGAGAAAAAAAGTTGTTGTTTTTTCTAGGCATTTGTGATTACAGGAAACATTTAAAAAAATCTATCTTAAAATTTTAATTCTATCCTGTTATATTTTAGAGAAAAAATATATATATGTATGTTCACTATAGAAATGTCCATGGCTTTTCCATGAATGTTTAAGATTTTATTCATTTCCACGCCTTTACCAGGCCTGGGGTCACAATTTATAATTCTCTGATATTCCAGGTTTTCCAACTCTTTACTACACTTAAGATTGCAAATGTGAGTGTGATGATATCTACATATATTAAATATAAAAAAATTGTCAATTTAGCAAATTTATGATATACATTTTAATCCACCTTTACAGCAGATTTTCATGAAATACACAATTCTGAAAGCTGTTTATCTTTTACCCTTGGTCGATAAAGGGTGTGTAGTAGAGTGTAATAAAGCTCACCTTCCCATAAATGTATAATTTGTTTTTGTTTTGTTATTTATAAGAACTGATATCAGTTACAGCTTCTCCTGTGAGAGCGCTTTCTTATTTTTGCAGTGATTTTTTTTTATTCTAACTTCCATGTGTTTGAATGACTTTTGATAATATTAATTAAAATCTTTTTTATTATTTTTGTTGTTGTTGCTTTATGTTCTGTAACAAAAAGGCTATTGCTTATGATGTGGAAAAAGTTTACTCTAGTTTCCAGCATGTGATTCGCAGCATTCTTAATATGTCCCATAATTAATAGGTGTTTCATGTAAAAACTGAAAATCTCCTACACCCTAATTTTATTTATTTATTTATTTACTTAGGTAACAGCTGATCTAATCAAATTATTCTGATTGAGGATTACTGTTAATAGATTAATAGATAACAATAGATTGTTGAAATAGATAACATAAAATGATGAGACTGCATATACATTAACCATTAAAGCTAAAATGCTACTAAAAACTTCTACTGTTAAAAATGCTGCTCTCCTGCAATTCCACTCAGCCCGAGCTTCAGTCCTAGATGTCGCTGTTGCTCTTTCTTACATTTTGGATGGTCCCTAATATTAAGACTTGCCCTTTAGGTTTTCATTCGGACTTACAACCATTGGATTTTTATACTACCAGTCAGTTTGCAAACTTGTATTAGTATTACAATTGCAGTTGTTTGCCATTTTAGAAGTTGAAATAATAATAAGAGATGTCCAAATTAGATGCCCAAAGGAGATGTCCTATTACTTGGAAAAGTGCACTCAGTTGTCGCCAATAGACCGAGCAACGCTGAAATAAAGCTGACAGGTGTTTGCCCGCCTGGACTTTTCCTTTGACTAATCACGAAAGGTCTCATATATCAAGTGTCTCTCATTTCACGGTGAGCTTGCATTCATGCCCCAGGTCAACGATGTTTTATATACGACCGCTAGAGGTTGATGCAAACCCTCCAGAGTGTGGGACGGACTACTGCTTTCAACACTTTTTCAGGGATGTAGTCTTCCGTCGGTGCATGCACAACTTGAGCTAGTTCATGCACTGACTCCTGAAGTTGTGCGCTCCTGCTCCCAGGCGGTCGGTGCTGGTTTCAGTAAATGCACAGGTGAAGAGTCCTTTGTAAGTTGTTTCTCTCTCTATTTGTACATTATTTGTATGATGCTAAACAATTCAATTCAGCATTCGATTCAGTTTAATAATAGTGAAGATGTTGTCTAAGAACGGCACAGCGCAAGCAACAGCTGACCTGAGGCATCACCTTGAAGCCTAAGAAGGAATTCATTCTAGGTGTGAGAGGAAATAGGGAATAAAGACGTGATTCATATAGATATTGAACAAAGTTAGCTATTAATGGTGCACCATGGAGAGCACCATCATCAACCCAGCACTTGCTTGGTGAAAGCATCATCCTGAGAGATAAAGATGAGAGCGCCAACATTTGGACTTCTGTGGAGTTGTCTCGGTTTTCTTCACGGCGTTCAGTGCGGTTTAGGAGACAACCATGTGCATTCGAGCTTTATTTACAGGCGTTTGCGTAACCACGAGCGGCGAGAGATCCAGAGAGAAATCCTCTCCATCCTGGGCTTGCCTCACCGTCCCAGGCCCTTCTCCCCGGGTAAACAAGCGTCGTCGGCACCGCTTTTCATGCTGGACCTGTACAACGCGATGACAACCGATGAGGAGGACGCGATACTCGGGAAGACGATCTCTGGGAAAGCGCGTAAAAGCGCCTCTGGAGTTCCACATGGATACTCGAGCGCGCCGCAGCAGCCTTACCGCGCGGCACCGTTGACCAGTCAGAGCCCGCCTTTGGCCACCGCGCAAGACACCAACTTTCTCAATGACGCGGATATGGTGATGAGTTTTGTCAATCTGGGTACGTATAGTTGGGTGGCAGGATTTTCTCTTGATGTGTGTCAGTATTTAGGCTAATCCTCGTGTTCTGTTCAAATTCACCTGAATGTTGTATGTGTAAAATATTAATATTTGTTCTTTTCATTTCAAATTTGTTTCACTGACTTAATCAAAACCGTAGGGAAAAAAATGTATTGGATATTCACAGGTTTTATTTTTCTCTATACCTTGATGCACTTTTCAGAAAGGTGATTACTTTCCAGTAGAATGCCACTGCTTTTATTTGGTGTCACACTGTATAAAAATAAAGAAAAACAAATACCAATAAACATTTAGCTGGAATACATCTCTACGGAGTTTATGCAAGTCAAAAATGTTTAGGATGTAGATTTTTAGGATATATATATATATATATATATACCCAAATTAAGAAATGCCAGTCTGATGCTTTAATAACAGACATATATTTTGAGCTAAGGGCCTCAGACATCAGAACATGTATAAACTTAAAATATGTGCTCGTTTATAGAAGGAATGCAATTACAGCCTAGCTCCTGATTTTAAGTGGCAATTATTGATAATTGGCAGCTACCGTTCCGTTTGTCAAAATATTACAGATTTAGTGCCTCACCAAGTTTATAAACTGTAAAATTATAGCCTATTGAATTTAGTAGACACACGGGAGTCTAGAAGGGCTGAGTTGAGTAAACAAGCTTCTTACATGTTTTGTTGAAGAAGAAAAAAAAAAATATATATAGAGATAGATAGATAGATAGATAGATAGATGTCCATTTGCTGGTTATTGAAGTGAAAACATCTAATTGGAAAAATCAAAAATGCTATTTTGAATGAATGCATTATCGAAGTACATTGTTCAACAACAATGCTATCAAAATGCCATCGCTATAGCCTGTTTCACTTTGAGGCCGTTTGATGATGTTGTGCACTTATGTGATTGTACATTTCTATTAGACTATTTTAGCAAGTCTGTCTAATAATTATTATTTTTATTAAACAGTTTTGCACTATTGCTAGGTTCTTGCAAACGCCTGTGTCTTTGTAAGGAATTAATATCTATGCCATCGTTCATTTATTCAAATGTAGTGCCTTCTTTCGAATCCAATGCCCTCAGTGTTAAAATAGCAAGGTGATTTTTTTTCATATTACTGGAATATAGTCCTCCACATTTACGCTGTCCTTGAAAACTCTATAAACGGTGTATATATAGGACTGTATGGTTACTGGAAACTCTGAGGCAATTGCAGGTTAGAGAGAAAATAAAAATGTGGCTATAAAGAGTGTCATTATATCAGAATATACTTCTTAGAAAACATACATGCACGTACTGTAAAGTAGAAAATGTGAAGCAAATCATGAAGGACGTGTACATGCAGGGTTTGTTAATATCCTGTCATTAGTAATAAATGCTTTTTGCTGTTATTTGAAGAATGTTGCGATAAGACGATAAGTATACGCTGAACTGTATACAACTTCAGTGGCTGTGACCTCTCACCTCACAGTTCATGTAAACTTATCAAGTGACTGTCTGACCTGAGGACAATTTGCCTTAATTACTTCCTGTTGTCGAGCAGAGGAAAGAGCTTGAAGAAAGGACGCTTTTGGTCTAAATCTGGTAATCTGGTGCCAGTAGCTAGCCTTTTTTTCTTTCTTTGCTAATCTAATTTATGCGTTAGACGCTGGTTTAGTCATATGTTTTGCTTGTTTTTCCATTAAAGGACATGCTGTTAAAAAAAAAAGTAAAAAATAAAGGTCACTGTTTTGTTTATGGAGAGGATAAAATCCCACAACCAGATGAATCACAAAAATTCTGTTTGATTTTATTGTTTTATGGATTTGTCCGAAAAATACAAAAGGGAGTTCAGAATAAACAAAGTTTGGGCCTCAGATATGGCAGAGTAAATAAACGTGTGTGTTAAGGTAGAGCCCATCATCACCTTAACTGCGCTCCATGTGTTTTCACTCAGGAGAGTGAGGGCATATACAGCGTCTTCTTTCAAAGCGCTGCAGATCTTTCAATGTACAACGAGACGAAAGCACTAAAAGGATCCTGGATACATTGCATGCTTGTGTTGATGCTGTAGTTCATGAGTTAGGAGAATGATCAAAATGGACACTCATAGTAAAGAAAAACAACAGCTATGAGTAAATTATGAGGGAAAATTTAGCTTAAGCCTCCATTCAAAGGTAAAGACTGGATCATTGCCATGCAGGCAAAACATGCTTTAACTGCTCCATTGATCTCTTGAAATGAATGCGCTGAATTAATCTCTCTCAATATCTCTCTATTGCCCGGAAAGCACTAGATCCCCATCCTCTGTTCTTAATTAGCAGCCAGGATGCTGAAGTTGAGTCTGGCCAGCTGGTGTAACTGTGGCCTGCCCTCTGACCTCTCCGTGTTAAGTAACTACAGACTTTCACTGTAGATAAACTATCAGAGAAGCCAAGCTGCGCTCTTTCACCGGCACCACAAAGCAAGCACACTTCAGCTCTGCTGCTTCATGAGCAGTGCTGTATGTCTGCATATCACTCTATATGCATATTTTAGGCAATGCTTCAGAAATGAGGATATCAGACTACTTGGAATT